AGATCATAGACTAGCAAATGGCAGGGCCAGATTCAGATGCCAGTAATGCCAGATCCAGATGCAGGCACAGGTCTCCCTGATGTTTGCTAAATGAGTGAGTGAATGAGTGAATGAATATGTGCTCAACTGCCTGCACTAGAAAAACTGAGCTTCTCTTAACTGACTAGATGGTTCTTATCTACTAACTAGAGGTCCAGTGCATGAAATCCTTGCACTCAGGTGGTGGTGGGGGGGGTGTCCCTCAGCCTAGTCTGTACCCTCTTGCAGTCCAGGAGCCCTCAGGGATATAGGATTGACGGCTTAGGCCCACTCCCCTTAGCGCTGCTGAAGAGGTGGGAAAGGCTCCCGCCACCTCCCCTGTGCTCACCAGGGGTGAGTCCAGCTTCTGGCTGAGCGGCGTTCCCCCTGTGGGAACGCACTGACCACCAGGGGGCAGCTCCTGTGTTGAGCATCTGCTCCCTGGTGGTCAGTGCACATCATAGTGACTGGTCATTCCATTGGTCAGTCCATTTGCATATTAGCCTTTTATTATATAGGATGCTCTAAACCTCACGTCGCTCCTCTCTTCACAGGTCACTCTAAGCCCATGCAAAAAAAAAACTGGACCATTTTAACAACATAAAGAATACTTCCTTGGCTCCAACTCCCACCAGCTATTGGGAAAATCTTCCCCAAGGGGAGACTCAAATATCTCCTTGTGTGAGCCTACCCACAATCTCCCATGGTCCAGGCCAGCCCAGGGCCTGCACCGCTGCAGGCAGAGCCCATTCCCGTCACTTCCAGCCACCTGCCTCCCCAGCACGCGAAAGCTGACGGGCCCTTGCAGCTGCTGAGATGCTTCTGTGTCCACTTCCAAGGTGTGGAGCCACCTCCCACTGATGCAGACTCTGCCATCGAGCAAGTGCCACTCACACGGCCAGCACCAGGCCCACCGCCTCTGCTGGTGCAGCTGTCGCATAGCTAGAGCTGCTTGCTGCCCAAGTCAACACCTTGGCAAGCTGCCCTTCGGGATCTCAGAGCGGGGAGGCCAATGTGGGAGCCAGAAGATGAGGGACAGACTGAGGGGCAGGACATCATGAAGAACTCAGTATGACCTCCTCCTCAGAATAAAGCTCCGCTCTGGACCCTGTTAGGATTTCCTGGGAAGTGACCTGGTCCCTCATGCAAACAGATCCCTGGAAAGCCCAACTCACTTTCTCAAGACTTCTCCAACTCCCACAGGGGAGAGAGAGTGAGGCCACCTGGGCCCGCCTCCCTCAGCCCACTCCTCCTGCTCCTCCTGCGGGCTTGCAGGTGGCCGTGCGTCTTTCCTCTGCTCCTCGGAGGCTGAGCGCCCCCTGTGGCTCCTCTTGTAAAATTCACAGGAGCCCACCTGGCCCCTGCCTGATCCCTATTTCCCTTTCAGGCCTGTTTTCACAAGCATCATTCTTGTTGTTTTGTTCCATTACATCTGAAAGGCGGCAGAGGTGGGTGGTGGCTAACATGCACACTGGAGCCAGGCCGGCTGGGCTCAGCTTGCCCTCCTCAACTCTCAAGCTGTTTGACCTTAAACATGCAACTTGAGCCTCACAGTCCTCATGGCAAAGCGGTATCTGCAGGTGCCTTCTTCACAGAGTGGCAAGGATGAAGTGATACAGCAAGCGAAAGCACTCACAGCCACCAGCACACGGAAGGCACTCCGTCGGAGGGGACATTTACTATTGCAATCATTACTGTAATGAGATGAGTGTGGGCTTCTCGGAGGGACACAAAAGAGAGGAAGGTCAATCTAGGCTCGGGGTGTCAGGAGAGCTCTGGGGAGGAGGTGACATAATGAATAAGTGCTTGCCAGTAGAACCGTGGGAGAAAGAGCATTCTAAATGAGTTTGTTCAAAGGCCCTGAGGTATGAAACATCTTGGCAGGAGAGCTGCCAGTAGGTCAGCACAACTGGAGTAAGGGTTCAAGGTCAAAGAGAAGCCAGAGCCAGATCCCAAAGAACCGACCAAAAACCTTGAACAACGGGAAGACAAAACCAGGTTTGTCTTTCGGAAAAATTTATGTAACGTCCACCTAACACAATTTTCCCTTCCCAGGGCCACCGTTATGATGATCTATTATCACAAAACCACTGGAGTATATACACTGGGTGGCCAGATTATTATGTGTAATAAAATCTGGCCAATCAGTGTATAATGCTACAAAACACGGGACTTGTAATTCACAGTTCTTTCCTCTGTTCACAAGCCTTCAAAAGTCTTTGTTTGGGTGTTGATGAGCTGGCTTATTTTTCTAGGCTGGTTTAGTTGGTGCAAAAGGCCTTTACCAATGGCATCTTCCAGATGGGTTTTAAATGCTCATCTTCCCAACCACAAGGAGAGTCGTAGGCGGCCCCTTCTTAGCATCTAAGAGCCGGACACAATCATTTCCCCGCAGGATACACAGACAGTAGGCAGCTTGGGTCAGGACTGGGAGATGGAGGCGGCTGCGGGAGGCGGAGCCAACTTAGGGGTTAGTCCTGGAACTGGAAGTGAAACATGTCCCAGGATAACAGCAGCATGAATAAAACAGTAAATAAAAATTAAAAAGTCACTGAGGATGAAGAAAAAGAGCAGCAGGTGCTGTGGTGTGAAAGGGAGGGACGAGACTGCAAAGAGTATCTTTTGATGGAATTTAATGACAAAGGAGGTCCAGGGAAAAGTCTGAGACAGGCAACCAAACTGTTTGAATACATATAGCTTCATCTGTTCACGCATCGTTCGTGAGGTCAGCCTATTAGCCTCATGTTCATTCTCTTTGTACATAAATGTGCTGGGCGGTGAGAAACTAACTGGACACCACAGAACGTGCTCTTCGGCCACGGAGGACTCAGAAGCAGGAAGGGCTGGCTGTTCCAGGGCACCTGAAGTGTGCCAGGAATCGTCCCCGGTGTCTTATATCCACTGCCTCTGAACCGAACCTCCACGGCACTCCTTTACCCAAATCAGCAGACACACACAGCTTATTTCTCCGGCCCCGTTTTCACTGTCCCATATTAGAGAAAACAGAAGCAGCAGGTGGGAAAAGATCATGGGGTGAGGAAAATAAAGCTAAAAACGTCGTTTCAGACACCATCACTTTCATCTCCTTCCTCCTGCCCACCCCTGTAATCTTTGCCTCTCAGTCCTCACAAAACAAACATTGCTTTTTCTTAGATCCTTTTTTTCCTTTTAACACATTTCCCCAAATGCCCATGTATGAATGCTTGTCCTTCTTATCTAACAGTCCCACCAACACCTTCAGTAAGCGTATGTATATTTGTGTGTGTGCGCGTGTGTGCTCAAGTGCTGGTGTGTCGGATTCAGGCACAAAGATGGAGTGCCGTCAGCCCTGCAGGATCTGCTAGTACATTCGCCAAATCCGAATTCTGGACACGATGCCCCGTCCCCGCCATGGAAGTGCCCCTTCGAGTTGTATTTGCTGCAGCCTGGGGCTGCTGAGCACCGGTGGTATTTTGCTTGCTTTAAGTTGTTATAAAACAGAAACCAAGAAAAGTAGGGAGGGGAGGGAATAAGCTGATCATATCAACCCATCAGGTGGTACTCGAACTTAGCGTGTGATTTATAGTCAGCTGAGAAATTCAAAGAGCGTTGTAGAAACACTTAAAGCAAAGTGGCAAGATTTCTATCAGTCACTCTTTGTTTCCCAGACAGTAATTTTTCTCCTGGAAAATCAAACCAACAATACATTGTTTATTGAGCACCTAGTATGTGACAGGTACTCTAAGGCCAATTGAATGTTAGAGGATTTGTTTTCATTATTATCTTTTCTTCTTTAAAACATTCAAGGCCTCGATCAGGATGGGTTAGCTGTTCTCTCTTCCAACAATTTTATTATTATGAATGTCTTCAGAAGTTTAACACTTTGGTGGCTGTGCAGAGTTTTCTGGGTCTTTATTGTTTCCTTTTGTTCCCACTGTTGTTTTTTCACCTACATTTTTCTTCTCCTACCCTCTGATTTTTAGGGAGAAACAAAATCTAGCATCCGAGACTACTCGAAATGTCTGGGCTGGGGATTGCTAATGACCTCCCAGAGACAACCCAAATTGCTGATTTAGCAAAGCCCATTCTTGACCTTGACACAAGGCAGGACAGGCAAAGGGGAAAGACTGGGGAGGGAGCCGTGAAAGAAAAAGGATCATAGAGACGCTCAGATCTCCCCGGTCCCCTCCCCCATTCAGCAAACACCTGGCTGAGTTGGAAAACATGACCGGCCCAACCTTCCTATTGGCACCAATTGAAGCTGTCAGCTCTGGGCTTGTCACCAGTTGCACTGGGAGGCCCTGGGCAGCCACAAGAGCCCTAATTAGGCAGAAATGACACTTCTACAACTGACCTGCCAGGACCTTTGGCAAACCATTTAACATCATTAGTTAACGTTTTCTAAAAGTGTGAATGTAAATGAACAGCCAGTGGCTTTCAATGGAGTTTGTCGGTGGCATGCCCGCCCCCACCACCACCTCCCTGTTCACTCTTTCTCTGTTTCCATGAATAGTCCACTTGTTTTCTCCAGAATGGGAGGGAGGGCGCCGGGGGAGAAGGGAGAGGAGGACGGGTCCTCGAAGAGGAGAGACATGTCAAAGCACAGACAGGCGCAGGGGAGCGGAGAGGCCACCTCGGCCCGCCTCGGCCCCGGCCCACACAGAGCCGAGCGGGGCACCGGGCTGTGCTCAGCGGGCCAGACTCACGCCAGGCCCCTCCACCAGCCCCAGACAGACAGTAGCCATGCCGGGCTTTGGGTCAATGGAAAAGGACTTCGTTTCCTGACCCCGGCGCCTCTGAGACACCCTCGTGCTCACAGCTCCACCTACTTGTTGGCGTTCTGAACAGGCTGATGTTTCCCAGCCGGTTAGCCAACATCTCATGGGTGCTTCAGTCTCCGTGTCCCCGCCTTAAAGGTGCCCGGTCCTTCTGTGAAGGAGTGACGGTCTTGGGATAACCGTTTCAGGTGGTTAGATACTCACAGAGACGGGTTCATTTCCTACCTGCAGCGGTTACCTCCCACCGCGAGTCGCACTTCATTTTGTTCTTCGACGTACACCCGCAGAACTTATACACGCCGACGCTCTCCATCTGTGGGGGAGGGGGAGAGTGTCATTGGGAAAACATCACTTTGTCTGTCTGTTTCCAAGCTGCTCTCCAATCCTGCGCCCATGCTGGGGGTACAAGGCAGAAAGGTGGAGGTGGGCGGCCGAGGGGCCAGTTCCTGGCAGGCCTTTGCACGTAGCACCTGCCTGCTCGCTGTGTGGCCCTGGAGTCTCTGATGTTTTCATAAGATAAGGCCTTCCTGCCCTGGCTGGTTTGGCTCAGTGGACAGAGCATCGGCCTGCGGACTGAAGGGTCCCAGGTTCGATTCCGGTCAAGGGCACATGCCCAGGGTTGCAGGCTCGATCCCCAGTAGGGAGCGTCATCAATCAATGATTCTCTCTCATCATTGTTGTTTCTATCTCTCCCTCTCCCTTCCTCTCGGAAATCAATAAACACACACACCACACACACACACACACACACACACATATAATATATTTAAAGATAATGCCTTACTCCTTAAAGTCAGAAAAAAATAAACTGGAGTATCATGGTAACTGGAAAGCGAGCAAAGGTAAGGAGTATGGACCACTGAGAGGGGCCAAAATTGAGGCTCTGTCCTCTTGCTCCCCAAGGCCCACTTGCCAAAACCACCGCCCCACAGGCACACACAGACCCCCTGTGCAGGCCCGACTCCTGCTTATCCTCGAAGGCCTGAGGATACGACAAAGGAACGTGCAGGAGTGCAAAACAGGTTCCTCAACCCACAGTCCCACGAGTCCCTTGGCCTGTCTGCGGGGCCCCACCCAGCAGGGCGGGAGAGTGTCTGGTCCCTCTCCGGGTCTCCAGAAGCCCGGACAGCCGCGTGGGCGCGCCGTGGGTGCGCAATAACTGTGTGCTGAGCGGGAGAGCGATGCGGCCTGCGGCTCCGGGCTCAGGGCGGTCGGGATGTGTGCTTTGGGAAGGGCTCCCATACTGGATCGGGAGAGTTCTACTTGTCTCTGAATGAAAGACGAGTAAGATCAAGCGGGCAGTTTGTGGTAGAGGATGCTTGTAACCTGGTCCTCGGAAGGAAGGAAAAGAAAAACAATCTTCGTTTGGGGCGGAAAGGGAGAGAAAGTATGGGGAAATGTCCTTAATCACAGTAAATGGGGAAGGGGGAGAGAGAGAGAGAGAGAGAGAGAGAGAGAGAGAGAGAGAGAGAGAGAGCGAGCGCAGCTCATTGCGACGAAGCATTTAGTGCTTTTAAGCTAAATACCTCAGCATATTAAGCAAATAGAGAAAAGCCAGCTAGAAGATGTCAGCAAATGGAAGCGAGCGGGGCTCGGAAAGCCGATAGGAGGTGCCTGGTCTGACCCCTTTCCCATCACATGCCTGGCCCGCCTGCTTGTTTAGTGTTGCCTCTCCTCTCCAGCTGCGGCGCTTATTGAAAAGCCCTTGCTCCCCGCCTGGTTTTGGCACATTTTCTGCAGGTGCCTCCTACTGCGGCCACAATGGGCTGCCAGGGAGTTCAGACCTGTCAACAGCCACGGGGGGAGGAGGCGGCGGGGCGGAGGGGGCGCCGCTATTGTCTTAAAGGGCCAGGGACACTGGGACCCTCCCCTCCGCGAAGCCCGCGGCACAGGCACCTGCTAATGAGATGGACCCTTTCTCCGGGCTCCCTCTTTCTCTCTTTAATGATTTAACTTGATCGCTTTGGTTCCTTTCTGGAAGGGGGAATTGCTCCATTGATCATCCAAAGTAATTGCCTGTAAAACATTGCCCCCGCGACCACGGCGGCTGCTTCCCCGGCTGAAAATGTCACAGCAATTGAAAAGCTCTCAGCCCAGTTCAAGAACGAGGTGGCTCAGGAGGACAGTCCCTGCACATGTCCTCCAGGACGGGCGCGCTCGGAGCTGCATGCTTGGGGTGGGACGGGTGGGTTTTTAAGGCTTTTTTAAGGATTTCTCTTCCTGTAGCAGGGTCTGATTTTGTGTGAGGCGGTGGAAGACGAACCAAACTGAACTTGAAACTCCCTCAACCCTAAAATTAGACGGTTCAGGGAAATACATTTTTCTTTCTTTCTTTCTTTCTTTCTTTCTTTCTTTCTTTCTTTCTTTCTTTCTTTTCTTTCTCTCTCTCTCTCTCTCTCTCTCTCTCTCTCTCTCTCTCTCTCTCTCTCTCTCTCCCTCCCTCCCTCCCTCCCTCCCTCCCTTCCTTCCTTCCTTCCTTCCTTCTTTGTCCTCACCTGAGGATATTTTCCCATGGATTTTTAGAGAGAGTGGAAGAGAGAGGGGAAGACAGAGAGAAACATTGATGTGAGAGAAACACATCAATGTGTTGCCTCCTCACATACCCGACCAGGGCCCAGGCCAGGCAGAGATACGTGTCCTTGACTGGGATCGAACCCGGGACCCTGGGGCCTGCAGGCTGGTGCTCTACCCACTGAGCAAAACCGGCTGGGATGACATTATTTTCTTAATCACCCAGGTCATTCTTTTCCGGGAAGCCCCGAGTTCAGAGGGATGGCCACGTGGGTCAGGTGTGATTTGGGAAAGCATCTCTGCTTCCTCACACAGGAGGACAGAGTCTTTGTCCAGGGGAAGCAGGGGTCTAGGTTTGGGAGGGGAATGATGCTCTCATTGGGCGAGATTTGCTGATTCTTCAGACCTGTCACTTGGCGGCAGCAGCGACACGTTGTAGGAACGGCGTGACATGCTTAAGTAGACTCCGTGAATACTTTATTAGTCACTGCCAGGCTGATGCGAGGGTGTAATTCACCTGGGGACAAGCACTTTGTTGTGGGCATCAGCCTGCCAGCGAAATAAACAGCTGCTGGCGACGGTCTCGTCTTCCTCTGACAGGAGACAGCCCAAGTGTGTATAAGCATAAGCAGACTTTCTCCATCTAATTGGTGGGAAGCACCACTTGCTAAGTGAGATGCTGCCAGGTTCCTAATGTTACTAATTTGGGAACAAAGCTGCAGGTGAGTCACCTTCCAGCAGAATGAGCCGCGAATCTCTTTGTAGCTGATGAAGCAAGCAGCAGGCGCTTAATACTGTATTTTAATATTTTAAAAAAGGGTGAAAACATCTGCCCGCCTCCCTGACAAACAAGAGAGTAGAGCATCCCGGTGCAGAAGGCCGTGTAAACGGTAAATCTGAAGACAGCTGTAAGGTGTTTTTCACGGAAGCCTTCTGAAAGGCCAGGGTTCAAGTGTCACAACTTGTTAGTAGATGCAGCAGGGCTGCTGTTGTTGTTTTTTCGTTGGAATTTAGAAATTTTGGATTTTATATTTTTAAATCTTGGGATATCGTCAGAATCTACAGTTATTCTGTTAAGGTGATTACATGTATTACACCACCATGTGCTATATCTAATAAAAAGTATTTTTCCTTTACCTACCCACATCGTGGATATAATTTTTAAATTCCTTACATGTAAACCCATTCCCTACATGGGTTCCCGAGTCTGGAGAATTCTGTGGGCAGCCTTTCCCACACAACAGGAGTTTTGTTTACTTTTCATGGGGAGGGGAGGGGAAGACTGTGCTTCCATTGCTTCCATGGAAAGGCCTTTTGTTTTTTGTCTGTAAAGTGAGGGTGTGGAGTTAAATAGCCCCAAAAGTTCTGTCTGGCTGTATGATTTCCTTGTCTATAGAAATGATTCTGTAATGACCAATAGATGCGGGTAAACATGGCCCGTTATTTCTAGCTGCTTTGCCGAATAGATAGTAAAAGCAGGTTGAGTTAAGCCCCTGCAGCCAAGAGAGGAAAAGCCGGACCACCAAGGCCAGAATCACACACCCTGTAAAGACTCTCCGGGAAGCAGGAATGTGCAGGAAGGTGGTGGGGGCAGCAGGAGCGAGCGCGGGAGGGTGGCCGGCTGGCCGCTGCTGGGGCCCCGGCTGCTTGTCCTCCGCATGAACTCCCAGAGTGAGAGCGAGAATGGATGGAGTTAACACTGCTGAAGGGGAAGGAACATTCAAAGAGGGAAACACAAGCACAGCGTCAGGGGAAGGAATGTCGACCTGCCAGCAGCCACAAGACTGGTTTCACTTTCGCATCCTCTTCTGGGACTTGTTTGCACGCGATGCGAGAGGTCTGCGTGGAACTCCCAAGTGCAGAGGCACCAGAGGGAGCATCGCAGTCCTATTCCTCGTGGATCTCTGTGGCCCGTTTGAAACCACCTGACTTCACGAGGTAGACATTCACCTTGAATTAAGCTTGTTGCAATGCCATACTAAACAGGGTTTGCCACGATGTTGGATGTGCATTTAAAAATAAAAGAACGAATTTTGAAATGCGACCTCATTTCTATGTCCATGCACACCTGGAGGATGAAATGTGCTCACAGCGATGAGAATTACCCCCTGGGCACCAGTGCGATTGATTGTTTGAAGGGGAAGAGCCTACACCCTCAGAACAGATCTGTAAATTTACTTAAGGAGGGAGCGCCACAGACATCTCAGCCTGCGCCCTTATTTACTTGGCGTTTACCCTTGTTACCAACATGTACCTCGGCCACCAAAAATTCACACACAGGAAGGCTGACATGCCTCACACTGAAACAAAAAGTTCATATCAGGCTGCGGGATAGCAGTACCTGTTGAAAAGCCTGTATTTCACATATAAGGTTTCCTTACTTTCCAGCTAGAAAGTCATGTGAATTGGCACCTGGCTTTATAGCTCCTGAATTAATATGGAACTGCTGGCTACGGGGAGAAAAAGAGCTATTTTATGCCTTAATAGAATGCATGGGGTCCTTGTAAATGAACGTTTCAGCTGCGGTTCCTGTGACTAAGTCAGACCTCACTCCCCTCCCCCACGAAGAGCCCGGTTCTACTTTTTTTGTTCTTGCAATCTTCTCAGAATGACGTGCTGCAAAGTTTCCTTTCAAAAGTCAGAAAGCACAAAACAGCTGGAGGAGGGTTTCCATGCCGCGTTTCTCCGGTTTGATACAAGATCACGCCTCCTTTCTTCCAACCAGGTCCCTTCCAGAGTTACAACTTATCTTAAAGTGCACCTGAAAGAGAGGCACTTTAATCATATCGCCCGTAGGACTGGTCCAAGGGACTGGTTTTGGATGCCTACCATAAAAACCAAAAACTTTACCTACACATGTGGCCAAAAACAGATGAGATGGGATGGCATCAGGAGTAGAGTCCTAAAGCCTGAATTTGGAGAGAAAGGTGAATCGCTCATAAACACGGTAACGGTACGGGCTGACACTGATGTGACAGCCGACCGAGCCTTAACCGCGGGGGTACAGGCGTGTGTGTGTGTGTGTGTGTGTGTGTGTGTGTGTGTGTGTAATTCTCCATCTGATCCACCAGCCAGGGTCTAGTTTTATGCCAAGGAGGATCATACTTTTTCTTAGCATTAAAGCTTGAAAAAAGAGTGTGAAAAGTTCAAGGAATGCTCCTAATGAGTTAGAGTCAAACCCAGAACACATACGCAGGGAAAAGTAAAAATGCTTACTTTTAGTTTTAAAAAGCACAAAACCTCACATGGTGATTCCTTTTGTTCTCACATAACAAACAATACTTGAAGATAACGTCTGTTGCAAAAATACGTTCAAAGAGATCTTATAATTTTGAATCCTTCATTTTGCTTGTATTGCCTGCTTTTGCAGATTTACAATTATCTAAAAAAAAAAAAAAAGGACAACTAATTTTCTAACAATGAGTTGATGAGAAATATACAGAAAATAATTATAAACTGAACAGATATTTTTCTTGCAATGGTCTCAGTTAAGCATTCAAAATGGCTGTATTTTCAGTAAAGTAATAAGTGGTATGTAATACCAATATTCCTTTAAAGCCTATACATTGATTAACATACATTTTACTTATTTCAAATTCCATACTTAAAAAAAAAAAGTTATGTTTTTGTTCTTTCTCTACAAAACACAGTCGTTGATCCTTACCCTACAAAAGACAGTCCTGGACTTTGTATTCTCAACATCAACACAGGAGCTGTGTGTTTCCCTCATGTGCTGTCAGCCTGGCTGTAAAGAAAAGAAAGCATCCATGATTCGGCACCGAAGTTTAGGTCAGGCCCACACGTTCATAAAAATTCCAATGAGTGCTGGCACGGAATAATAGTTTTACATCAAAAGGAAATCTGGTACTAGGCCACCCGAACAGAAAGTCCACCTTTAACGTTTCCGGGGTAGAAACATTCTCTAGAAAGCACAGCTATGTTAGCTTAACTGAGACATCTCTCCTCTGTAATATGCCCTGCTTCATAAATGTGTTTCACAATCTTCCCTATTTTTCAAATCCCCATAAAGATACGAACAGAGTGCAAATATTTGACCATGAACTTTGGGGAAGTTGGTTACTTGGAGTAGCTCAGAGATATTTCAAATCACTCGGTTGTTCATAATTGAATTCAGACTTTTACAATGGTCCAACAGCGGCTGGTGAACAAGAGGAGCTCATACGGGGAGTTTTGCAAGTTCCGACAAGAGCAGGGGGAGCGAGGGGGCCCTGGATTCTCACGTCGCCTCCTTCGGCCCTATCTCCGTGCACACAAAAACACTCGGAGCTCAAGGCAAGCACCAGACACTTCTCATCCAAACCTCACTTTGGCCTCAATGATTTATTTCAAGTGAAAGTGCCATCACACAAAGTCATCCTAATACACAGGGGTGGGCAACAATAGGTTTATAGTTGTTCGTATGAAAAATAATAAAATAACTGATAAATGATAACACAAGAATAAACTGTTTTGCATACTCACAACTGTAATCCAGCTGTTGCCCACCCCTGTTCATCAGCTCTTTTTTTTTTTTAATACTCTTGTTAAAATTGAGATAATCAAGTTTAAGATTTTATTAGGTACAGAAAACTTTTTTCAAGTATCCCAATAAGCTGTTTAAGATATAGTGCTACCATTTGGTTATTGGTGATTGGATCCTCTAGAAACAAAAGTTTGTGATAGAAAATTCTTAAGAAGGTCTAATTTATGAAAGTACCAATGTATTTTTTTTATTTTTTTTTAGAAAGAAAATTTGATATAAAGCAAATTACTAACACTACCCAACATCATGAACACAATAAGAATAACTTTCAAATACACCAAAGAAACAAACCCACAAAGCCAGTACGGTCTTGGATTATATCAGCTCTTTATTTCTGTCTAAGTATGACTGTTATATTCCCCTGCACTTTCCTTTCCCTTCCTATGCCCAGACTGAGGCACTGAAAATTATTTGCCACCTCTAGCCTAATCCAAAGACAGGCATCACTGAAAAACGTATTAAAAATTATTTCCACTTTAGAAATAACGTTTTTGGTCTTTCATCCTAAGTCTCTCAAGTATTAGTGGAAACATTATTTTTTTTCTGGGAAACTGATTCTGATCAGTTTATTTATTTCTACATTTATTTCTACATATCCATCTACATTTATTTCTACATATCCATCTAAGGTGTTGAATGCACAATCACAAAATATTATAATTGCATTATTTAGTTAAAAACAAGATCCATTATCCATTTTTAACATATAATACAATTCTGTGTATTTTTTTTATTATACAGAAATTTAATTGAACATTAGACTGGCAAAAGAAATTCATTCGCAAGTGTCACCTTAAATAATTTTGGAAGTACTTAGGCTCCAGTGATAATTTTAAATAATTGTCACATATAAAAGAGATACAGTAAAAACCGAATCAATATTGAGAAATTGGTCTAAAATTATTTTATTTGTTAAAAATTCCTGGAAATTGACTTCCCCCCAAAATCACAATTCTTCAGGAAATAATTCTCATCTACATCTGTGACTAGCATTTTAGAAAAATATTCAAATAATGAAATTCTCCAACTTCTTAACCAGGGCAACAACAACAACAACAACAAAAGGCAAATCAAGGAAGAAAAGGAGAATAACAACAAAAGACAACCCTACCCTTTGCCAATAAGAAATGCAAAGAGTCAAGACCTAAATGTGACAACATTTCATTTTTTACCATTTCCAAGGCCAACAATACTATACAACTCGTGGCCAGAGAGGGACAATCTTTTCATTTTGCTAATAAGAAACAGATAATTCCTCTTAAGCAGATTAACTTAAAGTACATTTTCAGGGAAGCTAAAATCCCCTTCAATCAGGGTCTTAAGTTTAATTATAAAAGTCAAACAATTTATTAACTTTCATTTAAGTGCTGCAACAAAATAGGTGGGCACACGAAACTCTCAGGGGCCAGGAGACAACCAAATCAAGATTTGCCATAAACATTTTTAGCCACAACTTGATAAAACATCTAACCGGTCCACTTAACTAGGATTCTTCCCCTCTTTTTTCTTTGCTGCCCCCTATATAAAAAATCCACAGTGAATGCAATGATTGTTTTTATTTTACTACTTTTATATTAAGAAAAGTACATACACACACACACACACACAAAAAGCAAAGAAGTAAAAATTAGAAAACCTGCCTTTTGTAGGATCTTGTATATGTATTTGCTTTACTAATTCCCTAATTTGGTCATAAAAATACTCTCAAATTGTATCTACTCCTAAAAAGTTAAAAAAAATATATATTTTAAAGTGGCAAAAAATAAATAAAAAGGTAAAATAGCTTGCTTAAAGGATTTCTTTGCCTGATTTTTTTCCTTTTTTTTTTTCTTTACTGTCTGAACTCACAGGATAATTGCACTATTTCCACTTTCATTCTGCCTATAGAGAAACTGTGTGTCTATACCTTAAAAAATGCCAATTAAACTGCCAGCGGTAGCATCTCCAACGGTATCTTTTGGTCTTCAGTGTCAAAGCCCTTTGAACAAATGACCGGAAGGCTAAGCCTAAAACAGCCTTTGACAAGAATGCCAGCTTCGAGCACTCACTTTAGGACTAAGGCTCCAGCTTACTGCTTTACTTGGGAAGCAAGAGAGAAATAACCCATCAGCTTTATCATTTGCACAGATGGTAAAGGTTAAAATAAAAGTGAAAGATTACCAGGTCACTAGTAAGGGAGGGGGAAGTTCCTTTTATCATTTAATTCAATTCCATCCAAATTTCTGTACAAAGCTAAATAAAAGACTTCAGATATTGCAAAACTACTAAAAATGCTACATTTTCCTTTCCCTCAATTTCTGTAGTAATAATGATACCATTTACTGTATGCTGGGCACAGTGGGGAAAAGTTCACATGGATTTTTAAATGTAATCTCATGGCAATCCTATAAAATTGAAAACATTAGCAATGGGGAAATGGGCTCAGAGAGTTTTAGAAACTTGTACAAGGTCACACAGCTGGGAACTGAGAGAATAGAACTTGAACTGTTGGGGTCTGATTTCAAGATCTCATGCTTCTAGACTAGTGGTTGGCAAACTCATTAGTCAACAAGTCAAATATCAACAGTACAACAATTGAAATCTCTTTTGAGAGCCAAATGTTTTAAACTTAAACTTCTTAGCGCCACTTCTTCAAAATAGACTCGCCTAGACCGTGGTATTTTGTGGAAGAGCCACACCCAAGGGGCCAAAGAGCCGCATATGGCTCCAGAGCCACAGTTTGCCGACCACAGTTGTAGGCCATTTTGGTTGCTTCCGTTATCAAACCATTCCTGGGTGAAGCCTTAGCATTTCTCTTTTGGACAGGATCCATGAAGAAAGCTTGTAGAGGGTGGTTTCAACCGTGGCTGCCCATTGATATCACATATTAAAAAATACTTATGCCTGGGCTCCAATTTAAGGAGAGATTCCGATTTAACAGGCCTAGGCATCAGTAATTTTCAGTACTCTACAGTGAATAAAATCACTAATCCTTCGCTTTGGGATGCTTAAGTCCTAATGGTGCTTAGATTCTAGTAGAATCCCCAGATGATTCTAATGTGCAGCCCAGAGTGAGAGGCAGTGATCACATTAATATTACCACTTATCCAGGCTCCTTGCTCTAAGCCCTAATATAAGCAACTCAACTGGCAGAGAATGGGAAAGAGTCTAGCAATAGCTGACAGGAGGTGGTAGAATTTTACTTAGAGAGTTCCAGATCTGAGAAGCAGTGGAGCACCATGGAAAATGCATGGACACTGGAGTCAGCAGGGCCTGAGTTCAAATTCCAGCTCTATGATTTATGGGCTGTGTAACCTTGAACCAACAACTTGCCTTTTGTGGATGCTCTACAGATTCGATGGGATGATGTGGGAAAAGCATTGCTCCATCAATGGTGGTTGCTGCTGTGGTTTTTGTTGTTCTTATTACTACCATGGTGATGACTACTGCCAGGAGGCATTAAGAGTGAGAAAATCAAATTACAGAAAAACATTTTTTATTAGTCAAACAATTCCTACTTTTATTGCTTAGCATTTAATTTGCAGCTAATTCTATTGCAAATTAGCTTGGCAATCATATTTCTCATTCATGACAACTGCATAAGGGCAACGTTATTACTCGCGCTCGCCACAAGAGAAAAAGACAACATATCCATCTAGTCTGTCTCTGGTTTCTATGATTCTGTGATTAGACACCTGCAATCATGTTCATTAGTCCCCTATGAAAACTGATACTCAACACAGATGGCAAATGCAGGGAAGAAGAATTAACAAGCACTTGATAGCAACCCCAAAATAACATCTAAATAATCGCATCTGAACATTAAAGTCATGGCAAACAAGGTCCAATTTATATAAAGATGTCAGAAAGGATTGAGGGAAAATGAACAAATACATTTCTCTTTATCCTCGTTCATTTAGGAAATGTCTGACATAACTCAGAAATTCTATCTGAGATGCAGACAAAAGAATGGTTAATTTCCTCTAAGAAGGGCCTTCCATTAGCTGATAGGAATACCTGATTTTATCTTAAATCAGAGCTACAAAGTAGAAGAGACCTAAGATGGAGCGACCCAATTCAGTGGTTCTCAATCAAGATCCCCAAGAAGCCCGGGGCCTGTGGGTAAGGGTCCCACAACTTCAGATGGACACCAAACACATTCCCAACACTGAAGAATGGCTTGCCCGTAAATATCATCTCTTTGTCATATGTACATTTTTATGAATGAAATACAAATGCCTCTAGACATACTACTGAATTTATAATCACTATATTATATATAACCACTATTACCTGGGAAGGGGAGTCCTCAATTTTTTATTGTTCAAAAGAAGTCTTCATCAAAAAGATTAGGAAACACTGATCTATTTAATTGAATAGATCCTAGAAGATATTGGGACATGTGGGATTCCTATAATCTAGGTTTTCTAATTCCCAAGTGGTCTTTGTCCCACACCATACAACCCTTCCAATGGGAAGTAAACAGCCTTGGTCATGTCCTCTTTCTAATATCTGTTCTCTTTCTAAAAGAGGAGAGGATAGTCCTACCTGCTGTCCCTGGATATGTGCCAGAATTTTCTCTGTATCCTGAATCTGTCTTTTCTCTTTTTTTCTCTTCCTTTCCTTCCCCTGCTCAACTCTCCAGTTTATGCCTTCAGGGTTGGCTGCATCTCATCCCTATCTAGCTCTGATGCTCTGTAGGTGCCCTAATATGAAGGTACTGAATACGGAATGTGTTAAGTCTGTATAAAATATGCATATGTATGAATGTATTTTATAGTTGAAACCCCAGAACTTCTAAATCTATGGAAAATAAGAAAACTGATGTATTCATGAATAATTATTTTATTTTCTCTGAACCTGTCAACACTAGTAGGCTCTTAAACCCCTAGCCTACCAACTTTTCAAAATGCTTTCACGTCTTTTATTTCAGATTATTGTCCCAATTGGTCACTAAAATGCATTACTGTAGCACAATTGGAACTTAAATCCCATGACAAGAAGAAATGCGATTTATTTTATTCACAACCTACCCCTACCCCCAATAGCTAAAACAGTAGTCATTCATTCAATTAATGTTTGTTGATTGACCGAATCAACACCAAATGGGAATGGCAGGTTTACTTATTCATCATTTAGCCTACAAGTAGTTTTCTTTTTATTTGAGGAGATAGAATAATCTACAAGGGAAGAACCGAGTCCCTAATAATCTTTTCCGTCTTCAATTCTCCTTGTAATATTTGACTTAACATGCTTTCCTCAAATAGTTTTAATGTAATTCTTCAAAATTACACAAGTAATACATTCATTTTAGGAAAATCAGAAACTGCCAATAGATAAAAATAAAATCAAAGTTCCCTCTATCCCCATAACCCAAGGATGACACAATAAGCTTTATCCTTTCAGACTTTATTCTGTGTGCCTGTGTGTGTGCGCGCACACGCACACACCTGACATAGTTCCACAACTCTCTGTCCTAGATTCTATGATTTGGAGTTTTTTTTCTTTTTTCCATAAGCTCCCCCTTTTTTGGGGTCTCCTGCAATAGCTCCTTACTCTCTTCCTATATCCTAAATACATTCCTTCCCCAACATTTAGAGCCTGAGTCCCAGAGGATGTTTTCCCCTTTTCCTTCCAGAAGATTCATCTGCTTTTATTCAACTTTAAATTTGTTGTGGGTATCTTGTATCTTCAGTCTTCCCTCTCCTCTGGGACACCAGTGCCCTACATGTCTCAAACCAGTGCATCCTGTTCCAACAAAACCAGATCACTCCTTCCCCCCATTTCTGTCAGCTGTAACCCAATCCTGCAGGCTCTCCTCCATAGTCATCTTTGGTTCCCCGGCCTCAAGGTGATTGTCAGCCTTGCTTCCTAGTCTCTCTCTCCCCCTTCTCTTCTCATTTCTACTATTACTGTTAGGGCCTTACATCTATGTTATTTTCTGCCTAGGTCTCCTGCTTGTGTAACAAAACGCCTACCCAAGTTACCCACTGCTGCCGGGTAACTTCCTAAAATACCACTTCCACCTTGCCTATCCTGTATTCAGAGATGTGGGATGGCCTCCCACCCTTACAGAGTGACACTGCTGTTCCTTCATGGTCTCACCTCAGACTGCCTTTCCATCCTTATTTCTCATTATTCTTATAAATAAAGCCTCTTGCTCCAGCCAGCCTGGTGTACTCAGTACTCACCCAGCTCCAAAACGTGATTGTGAGTTAGGTATTTATGAAGTATTTATTTCGTGTAAAATCCCTTCATTCACTCAACAGATATTTACTGAGCATCCATTCTACCAGGTAATAGACTGTTGCTGGGGATGCAAAGAACAAGTCCCTGTCTTCATGGAACTTAGAATCGAATGTGTTACAGAGGGGAGACTCTGAGACACGATGGTCCCAGCTCAGGGCACTTTCAATGTTCCATTACAATGTCAAAGAGTTAAGATGTCCCTGAGGGCTGAACTTTGTGGCCTTGGGGAAGGACTCAGAAGAAAGGAAGGGCCGAGTGAGGAGAGCCAGAGTGTGAGAAAAGGCTTCTCTGAAGTGGGACACAACCGGGCCTTCGAGGATGGGCTGCTAGAAAACGGGGTGCCCTCCATCCAGGGGGATGTGAGGAAAGGCACAGAGGTGGACCGGAAACAGCAGAAGCAACGGCAGGGGCTTATTCTGTACCAAGGTTCACTCAGCCCCATTCGGGGGAGCCCACGCTCCGTCCCTGTGGCCCCGGGCTCTGCGGGGGATGTGAGCATGACTCAGGCTTGGCTCCTACATGCAGGGACGGCCATCTAGCCGGGAGGATGAGGTAGGTCTGTGATGACTTACAAGCACCCTGAAAAGTGAGACATCCCATTAGCGATTGGGAGAAAACATGGAGAAAGTGCAGGAGGTCCATGTCTGGGCCCCTATTTATAGAAGCAGATGTTTTTATTGATGTGCGTGCACCTACTGAACACAGCTATCCGGTTTCAAATGTTCTCTCACTCATTTTCTCCTGAGTGACCAGTGAGCCGGGCAGAGTGGGTAAGTGAGATGTGTTTTCCAGGTGATCCAAGGGCAGCACAGACCGTGGAAGCGACCTGCTTAGGTCAGAAACGCAGACAGGCCAGAGCAGCCCATGAAGAACCCTGGGCACCTGGGCCCGTTCCCGCACGGAGCCGGGGGGGGGGGGGGGGGGGGGGGGGGGGGGGGGGGGGGGCGGGGAGCGCATGCAGAGTCCTAGGATCCTGCAGGACACCGGGCCAGGGCCCTGCAGCCACGCAGGCAGCTTGGATGTAAAAAGGGCAAGAGGCAGGAAGCCTGCGAAGGTTCTGGAGCGGGAACATGACCCAGAAAGTCTTCTCTACCCTCCCCCCCAGCCTTCTGAGCCACAATCATCCTTAAGTTTCACCCCAAACCCTTTTCCCAACCCACTGATTTAATCCGACTAACCTCCTCGGGAGACCGCGACAAAACGCCCCGCCAGGACACGGCTTGGCTCAGGGTAGTGAGGGAATGAATGAATGAATGAATGAAGTCATTAATTTCGGGGACCTACACAGCTTAGGGAGCATACCCTGAGTTCTTGCAAACCTCCCCAGGAGGGTAGGCCTCACGGGCCGCCCTCGCCACCCATCATCAGAGGTACGAAGGTTGGGGAAGGGGGGCGGGGGGGGGGAGTGGCGAAGGCCCAGGGCCCGAGTTCCAGGGGCCACGGGACCCCGCGCCGCCCCAGGCTCGTGTCCCGCCCCCCCCCCCCCCCGTGCCCCCCTGGAAGCCGGGATCGCCTCCCACACTCCCACCAATGGCGCTCCCTGCGATCGCTAACTACTCTCCCATCCGGAGAACGTTGGGTGGAGGGTGGGGGTGGGGGTGGGTGAGTGGTGCCCAGCGTGAGGGGAGGAGGAGGACCGAGGGGTCTTTCTCCCAGCTCCCGCCAGGGGGACTGGAAGCCTCGCGAGACTTGGGGTCGGGCTCGGCGTTGCGTTGCTTAGCGACGCGGAAGACGCTCGCGGGCCCCCAGGCGCACCCCCGCGGTCGGCGGCCCGGAGTCTCCTACCATGGGGGACGGAGGCGGCGGCCGCGGCTGCGGGACCACCGGGGAGCTGCAGAGGCGGAAGCAGCAGGCGCTGGAGTACTACCGGGAGAACGACGTGCCGCGCAGGCTGGAAGAGCTGCTCAACGCCACCTTCCACCTCCAGCCCGCCGACGTCTACGGGCACCTGGTAGGGACCTGGGACAGCACCCTCCTCCCCCCGTTCCCCCCCTTCCCCCCCACCCCGCGCTGCGGCAACGCGGTGCGCATGCGCCGCGAGGTCGCGCATGCGCGTCGCTGCCGCCGCGGGGTTGGCGATGGTGGCGGTTCGGGAGGCGATCCTGAAGGGCAGCCCCAGAGCGGGGATCCTGGGGCGGAGGAGGTTCCATCGAGAAAGTGGTGGACAGGGAGCAAGCAGCTAGCTAGAGGATAGCTGGCTCCAGGCGGATTTGTTGCGACGGCGACAGCTCGAGGCGTGCCAGGCTTCCTCGCGGCCTCGGGACCGGCCAGGCCCCGGCTGTCAGTGGTCCTTGTAAACACAGACCTCATCGCCGCCGCGCAGCTCTGTTCACCCACCTCCAGCGGCTTCCCCTGGGTCACGGGATTTGGCCTTGGCCAACCGGGGGACCTCAGACCCAGCCCGCTCCTATGGCTTCCAAGTTGCATTCAAGTCAAGCCTGGCTCCTGCCTGGATGCCTGGTCCCGGCCTGATCCCACCTACACGGAAACTTCCATTTCAGATCAAAGTCTTGGCTGCTGCGCCCTGGACTGCTTGTCCTTCAGCGGGCCCAGTCCCTGTAGCATTTGTTTTTTTTCTTTTTTGGATGCACAGTGAGCTCCGTGGAGAGCAGGTGCCTTTTCCTATCACCTTCCTGGTTGCTGTGCCCAGTGCGATTTCTGGCACAAACCTTAGCCCCAAGCAATGAGCAGTTGAAACAAAGGCAAAGCGTTTTCTCACTTTCAGACCCATGAGTATTACCAAGACCTACCTCCTGGAAGGCAGAGTGGTTGGGACTAGTAGGAATTTGCACTATGGTGAGGTATGACAGGAGCAGAGCATGTAAATGCTGTGAAGAAGCCAGGTGTGTTTACAGGGTTCAAAAAGCACATTTTATGGAGACAGTGGATTCAGAGACAACTTGAGGAATGATTTTCTCTCAGGGCCTATGACATCAAAATTGGGGGTGGAATGAGGGCAAAGTGTGTATGGAGTTCCTTGTGTTAAGTGCTTTATAGGTTATTTCACTTAATCCTTGGGACCCCTGTGAGGTAAAAATATGGCCCTGTTTTAAAAATACAGAAACTGGACCAGTGAACTTAAATTTTCTCTCAGGGGCACAATGAACAGGAGGGAGAAATCAAACCAGGTCTTTGTCCCAAGTACCCAGCGGAGTGCCTGGTCCATGGTGGACACTCCACAACTATTTCTAGGATGGATGAATGAATGAATGCTACTCTGAATTCCACTATTTCTTGCCAGAGGAAATCTTGAAAATTAACTTGTCTAAGCTCCTCATTTTACAAAGACACGGAACTCTTGTCTCATGGCTACTTAGAGCAAAAGACTGGAAACTTGGACTCTGGTTTCCTGGTGTAATGCTCTTCTTCCCAGTCTATCAGGCAGCCAGGACTTTAGTTTGCATAGCTCTCCGAGAGTTTATACTTTGGTTAGAAACAACGCCATATATTTTTTTTAAATGGATAGTAGTTAAGGTGATACACAGTAGTGTGCTAGACTGAGGGACAGATCACTTAAGCTTATTAAAGGAGTCAGGGTTGGGGAAGATCCCTTTAGGCTGTAGTGTCTGGGAAAGTTTTGGCTTGGACTTTGAAGGCTGTTAAGGAATTTGGGTGGGCAAAAAAGCAACCACCTTTTCCTTATCACGGCCCTAGTTTGAGCCTTCCTTATTCTCACCTAGTCTCTCCTTCTACTGAGTCCGTCCCGCATGGTTCTGCCAGAGCAACGTTCCGGATCTTAAATCTGAACATAATTCTTTTGTTAGAAATTCCTGTGGCTAACCTTTGCTGGCCAAGTAAGATCCAACACCTTCCGGTGTGTGATTCATAGTGGTCACCTCTGCCTCTGATAACTCTCCCTCCCTCCCTGGCTCCTCCATATGGCCCTCTTTTGCCTAAGGTCCAAAGTTTCCCACTTCCCTCCCCTTTGCTTGTCCTAGTCCATCTACCAGAAGTATCTACAATGGACTTCCATCGTCTGCCTGTTGAAATACTGCACCTCCTCCAGCGTTGAGCTCAAATGCCATTTCTTCTCTTACCTAGAGGATTCAGACCCTTGTGGACAAAAGCCATACTCTTTATTCCTTCCTCACAAAATTCACAGGTGAAAGAGTGTGGGACTGGGAATTAGGCAGATGCTTAGCCCGGTACTAGCCTGTCATCTTGCTGGTCCCCAGTGAACCGTACCACCAGAGTGAACGGACTTGTGGGAGTCCCTTTCACATTGACTCAGAACTTGGCCTTGGGACTTGCTTTTATCAACGGCACATTGGCAGGCATGATGCAGAGGCTTGGTACGTGCTGCCATACAAGCCTTGTGGTCTTGGGACACTCCCTTTTAGGATCTAGTCATCATGCTGCTGCACACAAAGACCTCCCATTACCCTGCTGCAGAGAGAAAGGTCGTGGAGAGGGAGGCCCTGGCAGTGTGAGACGGGTCCAGAGTGCTGAGTCATGAGCCTGGTGTGCTTATTAGAGAGCCCTATACCTTCTGTCTTAGCCCCCGAGTAGAAACACCATCTTGATACTTTTTGTTCAGGCTCCGTGAGTGGGCTCGCCACCTCAGCTTCATTCTCTTTCTCCCATCTCGTTCTTGGATCGCTTCCACATGGCTCCCGCTCTTCTTCCACATCAATGAAACTGCTATTCCTAAGGTTCCGACAATCCGCTTGGACCACGTAATTGTATGCATGAACCGATGGCCAGTGCAACACAGCCTCTGCACAGCTCTTCACCATTAAATTCTCAGAGGCCTTGCTGGGGGGGAATCAGAACTGGCCCAGTTAAAGTTTCTTAAGTTTTACTGCAGCCGTGTTCTAGGGACCAGTTGACTCAGGTATCATGGAGGGACAGGTGAGGACCAGCTAAAGAATGACCCAGGGCCTTTAGCTAAGAAATGCATGTGAGTTTCTGCTGAGAGTTGAAAAGAGAACACATCACTCCATGTACCGGAGACTCAGCATCAGGAGACACCCAAATCTCCGTGAGGGAGGGCGGGGCAGTTCCCACAGAGCAGCTAGGCTCATCCTGGCGTGAGGAGGACACTCAGGGGGTGGGAGGGAGTTTGTTAGAAACCAGAGTATCTGTGAATGACCTTGTAAAGGTAAATTAGGTGTGGTATCCTGATTTTCATCTTTCTGTGTTGAAGGCAAACTGCTTTTCTAAATTTGCGAAGCCACCCACCATCTGCAGAGTGGTGGGGAAGCATGTGCTGGACGGCCTGGGGCTTCCCACCCTCCAGGTGGGAGTATTCTGCACCATTCAGAACTTCCCCAAGGTACGAGGCTCTTTGCTACATGTATTGTCTATTTTGTGGGAAATGAATGTTGTGAAATACAGTGTTTGTGAATCACATCCACCCCCACATACATTTTTCGGTCGGCACGTACATAAAGTACGAACCATACTATCAAGCATGATGGCTTTATTGTGTTTCAGTGTAATATGGTACAGATGTGACATGCTAACTTGAAGACCATCCAAGGTGGAGAAAGGAAATGGGGTAAAAATCCTTTTAAAACCTGACATTATTATTGTGATGAGTTCCATAAATCTACAGATAGGTTTATAAGTTGATATTTTTATATGTAGATTCTATATAGATTTAAAGATGTGTAGAGTGAACTACATAAAGAAAAATGCATTTTCATAATTTTAATAATTCATTTTAATTGCTACATTTTAGTAATTCCTAGGTATTATTAGAAACAATTTTGCTACAGTTTCTGGAAGGAAAGTAATTATGATTAAATCTGTATATTTTTCACTAGTTATTAGAGAGCTAGTGATAAAAATGAACTTAATATACGGCTTTTCTAAGAGGATTTTTGTTGTTGCTGCTGTCAATTCTTAACCAAAGATATTTTCCCATTGATTTTTAGAGAGAGTGGAAGGGAAGGAGGGAGGGAGGAAGAGAGAGAGAAAAAAAAGACACATCGATTGCCTGGCCCAACTGGGGCTGGGGATCGAACCTGCAACCAGATATATACACTTAACCAGGAATCAAACCCACGACCCTTCAATGTGTGGTTCCACATTCTAACCACTGAGCACGCTGGCTAGGGCCTAGGGGGATTTTAATAAGGCAATAATTTTAAATGTCCCCTGAAGTTGGGTTCCATCGTATTTCAAAAGCTATAAAAATGCCTCAAGGAAAATTATACGTCCTCCTTTTCCCTTTGAAAGTAGCGATAAAACATGCACATTAAAAGCAGGTACGTTTCCCATTCTCGCCAGAGGTAGAGAAATGTAGAACGCATTGTATTCCTCTCAGTACATTTGTTCTGTGGTGATGGCGACTCACTTCGAAGTCCACGAGAACGCGGTACCCGAGCTCGCTGAGGCGGTGGAGGCAGAGAGGTTGGATGCTGTCGGCATCGCTGTGCAGTGGGTCAACGAGACCATCACCCAGGAGCTCCAGGGCCTAGCGCCCTCCAGCCAGGCGGAGGTGGACCAGGTGCTCAGGTAAATCTTCCACTCTGAAATGTAAGTGTGCAGTCCTAGCCGGTTTGGCGCAGTGGATAAAGCGTCAGCCTATAGACCGAAGCATCCCAGGTTCGATCCCCGTCAAGGGCATATACCTGAGTCACAGGTTCCTCCTAGGCTTGAGCCCTGGTGGGCCATGTGCAGGAGGCAACCAATCAATGTGCTTCTCTCACATCGCTGTTTCTCTCTCTCTTTCCCTCTCTCTTCCACTCTCTCTTAAAAAAAAAAAAAATCAATGGAAAAATATTCTCAGGTGAGGATTAAAAAAAAAAAAAGAAATGTAAGTGTGCAGTATAAATATATATGTTTCCTTTCCATTCACCTGTCAATAAAACACATCTGTCATATCCACAGGACACAGCAGTTAGTCAGTTAAGAAGCCTATGCCAGAGCAGCAAACTTTAGCATAAAATGTTACTTTTCTTCTGAAAACCATTATTAAAATTTTACTGGGTACGGCCACATAAGGACTTCCAACCGCTTTTCGTGCACTAAGCTTCCTTTGGATTCA